CATTTTCTTGCACTTAAACTGCTTTAGTGTGTATAATTGTGTGTGTACTTTAATTGGAAATTAAAAAGAACGCGAAACTCGAACATGCGTATAGTACATGAGCACCCTTACCTAGTATTTGCAGTAACTGCAGCTTCTCCCTTGTTAATTTAATTTATTGTTATCAGCATTATAAAATAAACTGCATCGAACATAATAATATCACACTCAATAATTGATATAACAAAATTAATGTCAGTTTAATAACGCAATGTGTATTTGAAAAGTTTATCAGATCTACAGATGCACCCGCACTGAGTGGCAGNTGACCGAGAAAAATCTGTTCACCCTCCCATAAAAAGTTATCACTTCAAAAAGTTATATTTGCGTAGTATTGACAGGCATATTGAAGAACCGATTATTCTTTTAGAAGGTGTGGCCTAGAACTTGAATGCAAATGCTTGTTCCTTAATTATTGCAGACATTTATTATTATAGAAATTATCCTATATATTACAAAATATTTCTGTAAGAATACTCTATTCTTACAGAAATATTTTACCCGACTGTAAGACTAGTCTAGCATGTGTATTAGAAACAAATTCTAATCAATTTTAGACGCCACAATTGACAACAAATTGAATAGTTTAAAGTTTGAAACAAAAAGATATTTAGACCAAAAAATACTTCGTCTACCAGATCCAGGTATGAAAAATTATATTAACAATGTTTTTTTCGCGACATCATGTTGAATTAACTGTTGTGGAACCGAGGGAACAACTCAACAATGTGCAGCCACTGTATGCCTCTCTTCTGGAATGGGTTACATTACATAAATAAGAATTGTTCATATTGCAGGGGCGCTACCTTTTCTGCAACATTCTACAAGGTATAAAGCCCGTGTCCCATGCATCCGTTTCACGATGGTACGAAAGCGTTTCTATTGGTTGGAGATCTGTCCATTCGACCGTTGTCGTACGAACTGACAGAATTCCATCCAATAGAAACACTTTGGTATCATCGTACAAACGGATGCATGGAACACGGGCTTTAAATCCGTGTACGACGACGGACAAATTGACAGATCCCCAACCAATAGAAACACTTTCGTACCATCGTATAAACGGATGCATGAGACATTAAGGAATTAGGTTTTATAATCAATAAAAATTTTCCTATTCAGTTAATTATGGGTGGATTCTGATAGTATAGATAAATTTAACGCAATGTTTCACATTCTAATCCCCGTAGTATAATAAATATAAGTGCAAATACTGCGCGTAATCCACAAGGAACGTTGATATCTCGAAATTAAACCACCTAGTTCTGAGTATAAAACGAAGTTGATCTATTATTTTTGGCATGTAATGTTGGAAACTACTCTGTAGAATTTGTTTTCCTTCTAAAGTAAGTAAAAACTGCAGTTATTTGTTCAAATTGAGCCATTGCATAACATGGCATACTATAAATGCATACCTTTTGGTTTGCAACCACTAATACACCATCTGACGGCTACGACTTCAGCATTGATTTATTTCGTTCTAACATAACTGTTTTCCAGGAAATTGCTATATTACACACAATTCGGATCATCGTATGCCTAAACAACCCATCAAATAATTCTTGACACGAATTAACTTCGCCTCTATTTTCAAATCATCATCCCAAGGTAAGTAAATTACAGTTATTAATTCCCTACAACGTTTAATAACTTCTCAAAATTGAGTAACACAGCCCTTAGTTGTTTGGCTTCCTCAGAGTCAATATGAGCGCAAAACTCGTCACATTTGCGCTCTTGATGTAATTTAATGAAACTGAAACATTTCCTCAAAGTTGCGCCTACATACAAAATATTACAACTTACGTTGTGCGATTCTATGTGAGTTATAAATGGTATAACACTAGTTATCAGTGTATGAGGGCCATGTCTACATTTTATAACAGCCACTTTCGTCAGTTCATTGATATATTTAACGTAAAGTCCAGCTCGTATGGCTGCAATTCCGAAGTCTCCATGCAGCTGCTGCATTTTCACATGAAGGCTATGATTTAGTGCACTGTCGGTTAACTTTAGTGGTGTATAATCAATACTGTTGCTGCTGGTATTCGAATTTACCTCAAGTACGATATACCTGCAAATTAAATTGGGCATAATATGAAATTGTTAAAACCAAACAGATATTTACCTATTTTTATATCGCACCATATTTCAAAAAAATACTTAGACGATTAATATGAGCAACTTCCACAAAATGAATACGCTCGCCTTCAACTTTAAATAATAATAACAATAAACAATAACTTAACCTTACTTTACTCTGATGTTCGGTTATGTTATGCAATCACGTGGTCTCTACAGCAAGCAATAAAGCCATGGTGCCACATTTCATATTTGGCGTTCATCTGAACCAGGGACCCTGACCAAAACAGGAATGGAATAGGATTTTTTTTTCTGGATCGGAACTGAAACTGAACCCATATTTTAATATTAACACATCTTTAAGTGCTGAACCGGAATCGACATGTGTTATTTCGGTTTTTTTTTATACAGTTTGTAATGTTGGAAATAAATGAATACTTAGGTTTCTGAGGATTTCTAGGAAATTTCCGACTCAATAAAGAAAAAACAAAATCAAATTTTAGATTCCGAGATGGTTAGGTCAAAATATATAAGTAGATAAGGAAATGCAATAAATTAGATTGTTTAAAACGTTCAACTTCTTGTATTTTCGTTTATTTTATGTTTCTATCAGTTTTTAACTATGTTTCTATGTTATACGTGAATAATTCGTTTTGGTTATTAATGGTTGTTGGTTATAACAATGGCTACTGGCAAAAAACTGGTTCTTCTTTTGCAACAGATAATTATATATATTCAGGAAAATGAAGGAAAGAGAAGTATACTGTTAAATAAAGAAGTGAATGAATTCTAGCCCCTGAAAACCCCTAACATGAACAGTTTAGCAAAAATATTTTCTTTAAATTTTGAAATTTAGAAAACATTGCGAAATCTAAATGGTTAGACAGGATCGCCACTTACAGCCATTATTCGCCAGTTGTCGTGCTAAATTTACCGATAATCGAATCGGAGACTATTTTATTTGGTTAGAAATACAGCAAAATAGAGAACTCGATAAATCGAAAAACGATACTCAGTTCAAGCCAATGGTTTATAGATTAATAATCCTTCTTACCAGAGCGCCTCATCCTTCATTTTTTGCCCGTTAATTCTCCAAAAGCACATACTACTCTTGCGACGGAATGCATAGTTATTATAATTAGCACCGATGTAGGTGCCTATTAAGGTTTGATGATGCAGAATTGGATATCGGCGAGTCGCTGGATGTCGACTGTGCATACGGGCGTTGAACGTATAATGAATATCCACAGAGTTTAAAATAACTGGGGATAAAATTCAGCAGTTACCCAGATAGCACACAAATATTACAGTAATATTTTTTTGCAATATTTAATATAGGTTGAAGCGACAGATTCTTGAATATTATAACAATATTTCT